GCCTCTGCTGGGACGCGATTACCAGTCACCGCCATCAGGGCAAACGGGCCCAGGCCGACGTGAGGGGTGGTGGGCAGGCGGCCCTTCCCCGTGAGGGGTCGGCAGGGCGGCTTCAACCGCTGGATCCGCAGGTGAATCCACTGCATGCTCCCTACTCAGGAATGGCCTAATCCCTTCCTCTCCCCGTGCTCCTAATGATCGAGAAGTTTTATGATTTCTGAAGGAGAAATATTGGGCTTCGCAGGTGCCTCAAAGGATGTAACTTCTGAGGGAGAAGGAGAGGGACGGCAGATCAGGAAACAAGAAAATTTCATTTAATCGGTAAGCTTGGAGCAGTCTGTTAATCTAGGATCTTATTTCTAAAATGTGGAGAGTGGGGTGCAGACTCTATGGTATGGTATGTAAGATTGTGCTTTCCGCAGGGTGGACTGATGGAGGCCATGCCTTGGTCCCCCAGCTTGAAAGGGGCCCCAAAACAGTGCACGGGATCTACTTCACATACCCTGCATAGTCACTCTGAACATTTGCAAGCCCAAGAGCTACTATATGCAGAGCCATCCTTTGTCACATACCCTTTGTGAGCCTGCCTTCAGTTGCGTAAGTGACGCAGTTCCTCTGCGTTACATGTGGTGATTCACACTCCTCTGACTCCCTGTGCATGCAGGCGTGCAAACCCAGGGCCATGTGTTTCTCATGAAGGCTGCGAACATGCAGAGTGACACAGTCCCACACCACATCTACTCCTGAGATTGAAAACATTTCAAGGTTAAACTGTCTTAAACATGCCAAAGAGGTAGGACTGTGCAGTGCATTTAATCTCATCAGCTGAAAATAGATTCAAATGGTGTCAAAACTGGCCTAGTCTGCCTAACCAAAAGTATGCTAAGATTTTTCAGTCATAATGCAAGTGATTAGCATACTTGGTGGATTATAATGACCTGTAGAATCATGGGGTTTAGGGCTGCTGGAAATCAATCAGTCATTTCATCTGTTTTCCTGTATACTTCAAGCCATTTCATTTCACCTGTCCTTTTTTTTTTTCTTTTTCCCCCTGAATTTAGCCCAGTATCTAGCTTTTAGCTATAGCCTATCTTCCAGAAAGGCACTCAGTCTTGATCTGACACCATCAAATTCACTGTTTCCTTGGGTAGTTTGTTCCCATGGTTAACCCTCATTTAAAGCTTGCATCTTATTTAAATTTATCAAGCTCCAGTGCCTTTAAGTTAATGATACATTTTTCTCTCATAGATAAAGAACTACATAATATTTGATACTATCTCTCTGATAGTGGCTTTACACCTCAGTTAGGTCACGTCTTAAGTGTCTGTTCTGCATGCTTTCAGGTTGTTACATGAGTGCTTTTTAGTTGTGTAAGTATCTATTAGAAAGACAAGATGAGAGTATGTGGTAGTCACGCATATATCCATTTCTCCCTGGATCCATTTTGTAGACCAAGTGCGACTACAGGCAGTTGTGCACAGCCAGTCTTATATTCAACTTAGATTCTCTGCATCTGTAGGCTTACATGAAGAAAACTCTCCTTTTTCATAGCTTTACAAACAGATTTTGATGCTTAACGATAATTTCCATTTACCTTTGAAGCTGAAAACTTAAGATGTCACTATGTAGGAGTGTCTGTTTCAGAAAAAAATATCTTTTTTGAGCTAGCCAAAATGTTGAAATAATTTCTACTCTTAAGAACACAGTGACACCTAAAGGCTAAGTATATCAGTCCTGTCTGGCTGTATTCCAGTCAATATTGCAACTGCAAGTCATGCAGGTACACTTAAACAACCTTTTAAGTGGTGACTTAAATACTGCTAGCAGAATAGCTGTGGCAGTACCAATCTAAGCATGGGCTGCAAATTCTGCTTGAGAACTGGGGTAAATATTCAAGTAGTTAACCCATGTGGAGCTCTCTAGTTTTGTAACTATACTGCTAAATATTTCATTTGAATTGACTCAGTATGCAGTACACATACCCCGGTTATTTTACGTCAGCTTCCTTTGACTGACTTTTGAGGCTTTACTGTATTCATCCTTGCTCCCTGTCTTCTTTTTGCCTCAACAAAGGCTTATGCAATTATGGTGAATGTGTAGGTATATGTCTGCCCTTACTGCCTCATAATTTAGAACTTACTAGCCCATTTCAGACAATTGACTCAGTATGCAGTACACATACCCCGGTTATTTTACGTCAGCTTCCTTTGACTGACTTTTGAGGCTTTACTGTATTCATCCTTGCTCCCTGTCTTCTTTTTGCCTCAACAAAGGCTTATGCAATTATGGTGAATGTGTAGGTATATGTCTGCCCTTACTGCCTCATAATTTAGAACTTACTAGCCCATTTCAGACAGTTTTGGTAGGGAGAAAATATAAATTTCATGTGAATAAATAGTTAGCTAGAGGAAAGAGAGCCTTTAATGGTCTCTAGATGCCTCCTGACTGAAAGAAACATTGTAATGCGAGCTCAGCTGTTATTATATAGCACAGAGCTCACACTGGGCACAGCCCTTTACAAACACGCTGAGTTAATAAATCTGGAAAATGTTTTGGTTTGAGCTTAACATCTATAAAACACCACTCTGTGAAAAAACAGACTTCATTAGTCCCATCCATCTCAAGATGTTGTGATTTTTTAAGAGATTTCTAATTACTATAAAATCAGCATTGAAGGGGAAATAATCTCAAGAAATGCTTTCCTATTATACAAAATGTTTTGCAGCACGTTTTTTTGCCGACAAATCCACGTCTATCCCTTCTTTCCCATGTCATACATTAGTTGCTTTAATCATTTTCAGAATTTCATTGCACTTTGGTACAAAGACCTGAATAATTACACTGACCTTCATAAAACTATTACCATTGAACTGAATGGATTCAGCTGGTGAGTATCCATTTGTGGGAACTACAAAAAAGGAATTGTTCCTTTCCCTTTGTTATTTCTGTTGGATTTGTCCCTCACCCCATCAGTTATTGCTTTCTTCTGCTCCTCATGGTCATTCTAGCCATTACTGGATGCAAAAAGAGCTAAGGAGAAAACAGAATCTGTGGTTCCTCCACATGTACACTCAATCGTGTTTCTCTACCTGACATCTAACATTCATTATCCTTTAACAGAGAGCACAGGTTTATCAGCAATGCCTTCTGCCATGTCAGAGTATCAGATGGGCTGCTTTCAAGATCAAGAAACACAAAGTTAGGGTAATATCACTATCATGAAACCCTAAACTTCCAGAAATTTGGGATGGATCTGCCTAGATCTTTTCTTTCCAGTGAGCTCCTCAATGACCAGAAGGGGTTTACACTCAAAACACTAGGTTTATATTAAAACACAGAATAGAATACTTAAGCTTTAAAATAAACTCTAAGAGAGTAGATGAGATAAAATAAGGGTGAATGAAGGTTTTGCAGACAAGATCTCCTTTGCCACCTGCATGCTGGCAGGGTAATGTCAGCCAGCTAGGTGACTTTGAGAGTTGCAATAAACTCTGGATAATTCCTTCTAGTTCATAGGAGGTTTTTTTCATTTAATCTCTGAGGTCCTTCTGCTGTTTCTCTTAGCTTTCTTTCTCCTTAATTACAGGCTTCCACTCATTTCTTGCTGCCACACCATTTTTGTTTCCTGACTATGCACAGCTACTTGCCAGGAAAGCAGCACACTTCTACTCTCCCTCAGGTGTCCTATCTTACTCAGGTACTGCTTTTTTAAAGGAATAATAGTGTACAGGCTGAAAACACAGAAATAAAACTGGTATGGTCTATCACAGGCAACCATACCCCATTTTTAAACTTATTTATGCCTCTCTGAGCTGGCCACAAATACATAGAATTAAAGCAAAAGACTTATTGTCAGTAATAATAATAAAAATCAGTAACTGCTAGAGTATGAGGAAAAAACAAACAGAAAACTGATCAGTATTTTATGTAAAATACCTTTGAAGCTTGGGGCCTTTTCATTTCTATAAAAAATAAAAAGTTAAGAAGCATGAGAGATAATTCCAGGAAAAGCAAAGTGAAATTTAATGAGTTACAATTAGTTACATAGGGTAACTTAGGTGCTGAGATGCCCAGCATTGTGGCACCCAGCCTTCAAGTACCTGGCTCAAGGAAAGGAATTCATAGTCCCAAGTTCAGTTACTGAATTTGGTAAGTAGTGCATGGGGTAGACAGTGGGAGTTAAACAAGATACATTCATGATTCCCAGAATAGATACAGATTCTTGTCTTTTTGGAGAACATTGAAAATGTAGAAGCATAAAGATCCCCTTATCTTTTAGTCTTGCTTAGTGGAATTCAGCCTCTGGTGGGGACTGCCCAATAACTTGTAGATGTGTTAAAAATTTAGGTGCATCCTTACATATTAGAGATAAGATCTGTGATTCCTTTACAGGTAGCTACAGGTCTCCTCAATGGCAGCATGCACCCTGTCAACTACTTGCTGCAAACCTTTGGGTCAGTCCCGCTAAGGCTACAAGGGGAGTCAATAGGAGAATATGATGGGAATGCAACACAGGAAATTATAGATTTCATTACAGAGAGACTGGAAACAAAACTGATTTTTCATGCCCTCATGCCTTATCTCTGTCATTCCTGCTATTTAGAAGTGTAACCTGGAAGCATTTAAAGTTTGTGAGATATGAACAGCATATTATGACACAACAGAAAATCTGGTACCACATTGATTGTAAATTACTTTAGGTACTGTAGTTATGCACCTTTTAAATTTGGGGCAGTTTATATATGAAAATATACCGTGTTTCAAACACGCCTATCAAGCAGTCCTATGAGATGAAAAAATCACCACTTCTTGAGTGAAAGCTGAAGGATTCAGAGGTGTTTTGGTGACACTAAAAAAGTGGGATGAGACATTCCTTTTTCCTGCTTTTTAGTCTGTAAGTGTGTGGGTCCAAATGTGCTAGTGAGTACCAGTTTCCTTTCTGAAGTCCTTGCTAGAATTTAAATCTGGGCAATTTACTGCACAGAGAAAGCATACACGTTCTTAGCAATTGCCAGAGAGACCATACATCTGGTTCACTGGCAAGACCTTTGTTCAGAGGAAAAACATTTCTATTTTTCTTTTCAGTGCTAAAGAATATTCATTAAGATTTTCATTACACAAGAAGGAATGAAAAAGGAGGACAGAT